AGTAAAAATCAAAAACGGTAACTCTCTTGCACTTTATTTTCTTTACACCATTCAAGAATCCTGAATAAAAGTAGAGGTGATGAATACTATTCCTAAAACTTAAATTCTGTCATTTTGTCAGAGATGTCATTTTTTTTTGAGACTATAGGTTTCTTTCTTTACGACACCCGTCTTCTTTAATAGTCTTGCATTTATTGTCTTAAAGGTGAGTATTAATACACCATTGAACAGCAATGATAAATTAATTGTGGATTTTTAATCTGGCAGAGATTATTTCTCTGAAATAATAATAATAATAATAATAATATGTTCTGTAGGCTTTGGCTGAGGATGATTATGAGGCAAGAAGAAAAGACCATATCTCTCATTTCATACTACGCCTTGCTTACTGTCAGTCGTAAGTACTTTTTGGATTATGCTGTTGTCCTGGTTTCAGCTGGGATAGAGTTAATTTTCTTCTAAGTAGCCGGTATAGTGCTGTGTTTTGGGTTTAAGATGAGAATAATGTTGATACACTGATGTTTTGGTTCTTGCTTAGTGCAAAGCTGTTGCTAAATAGTCGCTAAGCAGTGCTCACGCTGGTCAAGGACTTTTCAGCTTCCTGTGCTCTGTCCGGTGCACGGGGGGCTGGGAGGGAGCACAGCCAGGACAGCTGACCCAGACTGGCCAAAGGGCTATTCCACACCATATGACATCATGCTCAGTATATAAGCTGGGGGAAGAAGAAGGAAGGGGGGGACGTTCGGTGCAATGGCATTTGTCTTCCTGAGTAACCGTTAAGCGTGATGGAGCCCTGCTTTCCTGGGGGTGGCTGAAGACCTGCCTGCCCGTGGGAAGTAGTGAATGAATGCCTTGTTTTGCTTTGTTTGCGTGTGCAGCTTTTGCTTTACCTGTTTAACTGTTGTATTTTATTTTACTTCAATTATTAAACTGTTCTTATCTCAACCCATGAATTTTCTCCCTTTTACCCTTCCAATTCTCTCACCTATCCCACCAAGGGAGGAGTGAGCGAGCGGCTGCATCGTGCTTAGTTGCTAGCTGGGGTTAAACCACGACCCCTGTACTCTTATTATTAATTTTAAACGTATACACATACATTGCTTTATTATAGACATTACAGGTATTTTAGAGTTGCATGGCTACTAAATAGAGAGGTAGGCTCAAACAGAGGGGTTTTTTGCTAGGAACCTCATTTCAGCTGTGCTGAAAAGGGCTACTTGGGATAAAAATTAATACCCAGATTTTGTAATAATTTTTAAAAAAGTATAAACTTGTGAGGTTTATGCACAGAATGTTGATTTGAGTCTCTGCCTTTTGACATCTTTTTTTGAGATTAAAGCACATCAGTATTAAGTCTGTGTCAGGCATTTGCAGTGATTGATAATTCAATTAAAATTAACTGCTGCATATGCTTAAACTGATGATTACTGACCAAAGAACTGCCTATGTAAATAGGCTACATATTATTGTATAAAGAGAGAGCCTTGTTTCTGGCAAACTAAAAATACCATCTGAGTTTGAGGTTTCCTCTACTGACTCTGCTTGTGTTCCAAATTCATTGCTGTGGATGGTTGCACTGCAGTTTTGTTGTGTGAAATCTCAAGCACAAAGTTGGTCCTGTCAAGTGCATTGCTTTTGCTTCAGCTGTAGTTTTTGGATGAAATTATAGAGGTTGTCAGTGCTTTATGTCTGTTAACATGTTTGTTATCCATCAGTGTGAACTCCTGACTCCTTGCCATTGCAGTCCTTTCTTAGTACTAAAACTGGCAAATATGAAGTGTGTACTGTTTTGAATTGTTAATTCAATTGCACTTTAAGTTGCAATATAGTTTGTTTAAATTAGGTGAGTGTGGTAGAATACATATGATACTGTGATAGCTGACATGACTGAAGTGCTGCTATGGATGGATACAGATTCATAAGCAAAAACAGACTGGGAAGGTGAGTAGGAGGGATTATGTTCTAAGCCAAGGTATGGAGCTGGAATGGATTGGGCTTTTCCTTGAAATGGGTCGTGAGACAGTTGAGAGTTTTGGGGCAAGTGTTGGAGAAGAGACCAAGGTGGCCAACAACATGGTAGGTGCCTGCTACAGACTATCTGATCAGAATAGGAAGCAGCAGAGGCCGCAAAAGCCTCCAGATGGAGGAAACCTCACTATGACAGGCCCTGGGTGACTTTCAACACCCTGAAATCTTCTGGATTACTCACATCCCATCATGTTGCCCTTTCAAAAGACATCTGGGCTGTCCTGGAGACAGTTTGTTGATGTATGTGATTGATGAGCCAGCTAGATCTGTGATGCATGTACAGGGAGGAACAGGTTGTGGATGTGAAGGTCAATAGCAGCCTTCACTGCAGTGACTCTGATAGTATAGTTTAGAATCCTGAAAGAAGGAAGCAAGTTGCATGACAGAATTACAACTGAAATTCCTACTGTCCTTCTTTATTCTACATTTTTTATTTGTGATTATAAATAACAAATGTAATATTAGTTTCTTTCTCTTGCCTATGTTTGTTGTGTATATTTTTATAAACTCCCCTAGTCCTACTGGTGCTGCTGATTTTTACAAGAAAATATTTTGCTTACCTATATTGTAAATTTCTACCAAAACCCCCTAAAAGGTAATAGCCTTAAGTAGCCTGGGACTAAAAAGCCTCTGAAAACTTAATGTTTGTTATTATGCAGCTAGTGGTATTTTGAATAGTCAGTTTGGTTTCCATTATTCTCTCTTGTAAAACTTTACTTAATAGTTATTATTTAGATGGGACCATTGCTTTTCTGTGGGAGATGAGACACTTTGAGGGTGTTGGTAGTGACACATTTGAACAAAGTTCTGCTGTTCTGGAAGGTAAAATTGTCTGGTGGCAAGAATTTGATCTGGAATTCAAGAGGCATCTATTTTTGGTTGGTCTGTGGCTTCAGGAAAGATGAGTTTGGGTCAGATTTAGAGAAGGCAATACAAGTCATGTAGCAAAAGCCTGAAGGTTAGGTATTTGCTTCAGGAGTGGAATTCAGTAAGCTTTGTCCACTGTGCTGAGAAGGGTGGAAGTCATACGTGAATGACAGTGGCTAGCATGCTGAGTGAACAGAAGTCATACGTGAATGACAGTGGCTAGCATGCTGAGTGAACGGCTGCCTCAGTCGGAAACAACCAAGCAGGGACTTGGCTAAATATCTGCCTTTGTCACTGATGTGATATCTTCTCCCCCTGCCCTGCATCTGTATAATGGCTCTGGAATCTCCTAGAATTAATGATAGATGCAGATCATTGGACTGCTTTCGTTTTCTTTGCAAGCTGTCTTTTTAAAAGAAGATCCTTGTCTTTTGTCTGAGAGCTTATTTGACTGCAGTGCTTGCTTAGGAAATAAACAGGAGACATGTTTCAAACCCTGTGTTTCAGGGAAGTATCTTAAGAATTAGACTATAGGCAGGGCAGAGGTGGGCAGCTTGTTGAAGGAGAACCACTGTGCATAAATGAATACAAAATATTTTGGGCCACAGAATCAAAAAAGCAGGAAAGAGCCTGGCTTTGTAGTCTAGGGGGAAAGACCCCTTCTTAGGGAGGGGGGGCCTTGGATGGGGCTCCAGGGCACTCTTTTTAAACTACTTGCAAATGTATTTTTGTGTTCCTGTTTATATACAGATAGTTCAATGCAGTGTTTCAATAAACCAGCTTGATAGTTTCCCCTTAAAGTAGCTTTTTTTTTTTCTTTGAAAAGGTGGACTAGTGATTACTCATAAAATGGAAAATAGCATCTTAAGCACTGTGAGGTGATCCTGATCCCAGCATTCTTCATTCTTTCTTGAAAAGCAGCTATTTCAGGGATGAGATATTTCTATGCTTTAAAACTGGCATGTTCCCCAAAAGACGAAATTGGGAGGCAAATAGAATATACTGTTCTCTAAGTTTTTATCATATGAGGTCAGAAAAATAAGCTTGGCACAAATCATTAGGTTAATTGATGAAAGCTATTAAGGTAGGAGTGTTTTAAAAAGTGTACTTAACTTTCGCAGACATAACTGCGAACTAAGTTAAATTCAGTTCCCTGTGGCCTGCCAGGCAGTTGTGTTTACAGGCTTTTCCTGTGACACCACCTTTTTAAGTTTCTAGTGTGCCAACAGTGCCACCCAGGGGTACGAGTTTACATCAGCTTTTTTTTTTTTCCTAGTCTGCATCAGTCCTCACTTATAAATTGGATTGTTTTGGTTTGGTTTTTACATGATCTGAAGTGGCCAGCTCCACCATTCTTGTCAGTTAAATTTGTAATGTAGTCGTCATCTCTTGACTGTCCTTCTGCCTTCTGAAATCCAAGACTTTAAAGCTTATTCCCATATAATGTTGCTAAGATATGGAATGTACAGTCTTGCGTGAACAGTCTCATCCATGCCCTTCTTTCACACCTCTTGTATTGTCACTTGTGTCTGTCAAGACCAGGAAATAGAGTAATCTTGTTTCATTCACTTTCGTGGCAAACATAACTCTAGAGAGAATTTTGCTTGCATGTTGGCCATGACCATGCATTTCTGCTTCCGTCTGTTGCATCTCTCTTCACTTTATCAGATTAGCTATGAAGAATCTTGAAAATCACAGGAGCGTAATCTTCACTTTACTTACTGAAGATGGAAGAAATAAATCTTGCCTCCGCTCTGACAGCGACACTCTTCTAGTCAGGAAACTTTCAAACATAGTTTTGTGCCTTTTTTTTTTTTTTTTTTTCTGTGTCACATAACAGAGACATAAGTTCTTTATCAAACTTAGCAAGGCCTTTTCTCTACTTCCTGCCATTTTTTTTCTATATGATAAATTAGACTTGTGTGCTGAAATTGCTGCCTCTTATATTGACTAGCATTTACTTTTGTGTGCTTTCTGCACCCACGTTCCCCTTGCTGTCTACCTTTTGAAACTTAAACTCTGAGGAATCTTCTGGTGTTGGTTGCCTAGTAAAATAGAGCTCTGGCCAATGCCCAGGCTTTTCAAAAGTTAACATTAAGTTGTTGGTAACTGAATTCTCGTATTTAATTGTGGAATGTGAGCTACTAGTCTTAGGCTCCAGATTTAGGAGCATTTTCATGTCTTTCTAAAGTACTTTAATGTTGATGCTTCATAACCCATATGCCGGTCTTTCCTACCACTCCTTGTCGTGTGAAGAGGATTTCTGCTGCCCGTCCCAAGTGCTGTTCCCTGATATGAAAGAGCCTGTTCTTTCATATTATTTTTCTAGTCGAGAATCTACTGATCTGATTTAAACTGTTGAGTATTCTGCACACAAAAAAGTTAAGTGGCAGAAAACAAGGAGATGTTCCTAATGTCTACGCTTCAACTACCTGCAACTATCTCATCTTCAGCAGCAGCTTGCTTAGTTATCTAATGGCAGTGACATTGCTTTTCAGTTAAGCTTGTGGTTTTGATAATAAGTATTGTTACTGGTATGTGTCTGGAATGAGAGTGTACAATTATTTTGAATGTTAACAATGCGTATAAGACGTGATTTGTGTTTAGAAATGATGTAAAATTTTCCTGAGACATAAGGAAAAAATGAACATAAATAATGCCCTAATGATGATGTTTGTAGGAAAGTTTTAAAATATATGCTGGACATACACAGTAATGTAAGCCAGCTCATCAGCTAGTTTGTCATCTATAGGAATAATTCAGGTAGGTGTGTGTATTGTATTAGAGATAACATTAATATTTTCTTGTTTTGGTAACTTAAGTGGGTGGGTGGGATTACTGCCTTTGATCTACTCTCCTGAAGGAAAAGAAGAACAAAAGACTGGCTGGCCTCCAAAGTAACTATATATGCTTGATTCCTCTCTCCCCCCCCCCCCCCCCCCCCAAATGCAGTGTAAAGCTGATGAATTAGGAAAAAAGTAAAATTGTCATATCCTAGGATTTTGTTACCGTTCAAGATGATCGCAGAAGATCAGTCATAAAGGCATCAACTTCCATTTTAAGTTGCACAGATATTAATACACCCCAAGCACTGAAACTGTCCAAAGGGTTATACTTCACAAAGCACCTTAACAGAGCCTTTCCATCTGGAATTATAATTTGAATAATAATAACTTTTCTCCAAGGAATATTTCAAGGAGAGGTTTTGTCCACAAAAGCACAAACAACTCTGTTGTAGTTCACTGGTCCCCTATGGGAAAAGATGCTTAAATATTGTAAGGAGAACATGTTAGACTGTAGTATTTCTGTGCTCTGTGAATTGTCATGGCAGTGGCCCACTGCGTAGCTCTCAGAGGACAGTTTAAAAGAATGCCCTGTAATAACGAGATACAGTATCATCTGCATTCTGTGCTTGTACGTACAGGGTGGCTGTTGTTACTAGTATTCTGGTACCTACTTGCTATAGCTTTGACTAACGTACTGATGCCTGGGAATCCGAGTGCTGGGATGTTAGCAATCCAGTGTGCAAAAAGTAATATGAGTACTTAGATTACTTAGAGTACTTAACGAGTGGCTTCAGTGTTGTTTTTCTTTTATGCTTTCTACTGACTCGTGTCCCTGTTTATTCTCCTACTTGCTCACCTGCAGTTGCTAAACCCCTTTTGCTCTTTTGTCAAGTGTTAGATGTCCTCTTTGTGTTCCTCACCCAAGTTTGTTGTCACATATTTTCCTTTTGCCTGCTTCCAGGCTACTTGTTGCCTATCATAGAGTGCTGTTGTTGTAGTATCTGAGATGCATGTGTGTTTCTTCAGCTGGAGATACCCCAAAAGTGAGAATTGAAAGAAGTAGACTTTATAATGTATTGCCTCATCGGATGAATTGTGACATTAATTCTACAATGAAGAAATATTGTGCCATGTTGAAGAAAAAAAGCTGTCCTTTAAAACCGAAGCAGAATGTTATCTGCGGTTGGTTATTCTTATCTAAAACAAGTAAGAAATAGTGAGTACCATTTAAAAGAGAGTAGCAGCTTTGATACCTACAGAGCAATTTTTAGTGTTGAGATTGATTACCCCTGTTCTTCCAAAACATCCGCAGTCACGCTTCTTTGTGTATTGTCTCTTCAAAAGCCTTTTCTGCTTGACTGCTCCTTCCTGAAGGGTTCCTACCTTCTCTTCTGAGATCCTCAGTTTGTGGGTCCCGTGCCAAAGTCAGCCCTGCATTTAATGCTATGTTCACTAGGCTTGACACCTACTTTATAAAAAAAGAGGGAATGTGTAATCAGAAAATGTATTCTGTTTTTTTTTAATCATTTCTTTGCAGTGAGGATCTCAGGCGTTGGTTTCTTCAACAAGAAATGGATCTCTTGCGATACCGCTTCAATGAACTGACTGACAGTTTAAGGCAGAAATTCCTGGAACACGTTAACTTATCTTTTGAAGCTGTAAGTATGTTACTTTCTGGATTTGTGTTATATAGTGTGTGCCTGATGTTTTTTAAAATTCTCATTAAGATAGTTTTAGTACTTCTGTTTAAAAAATAAAAAGTGCCCTTGTGGCTTTAAAAAGCAACCACACAGAACTTCTGAACTTGGATAATAGTCATGCCACAGAAATGAGGATCAAGTGATGTAATTTTTTGCTGCAACAAGAGGAGTTGTCTACTTCAGTCAACCAACACTTAACGGAAAAATACATGACTTCAAAAGCAAGTTAACAAACAATGTCATGCTAGTTCTTTACCAACTAATGAAAAACCTTAAAAATACCAAATCTGTGTAGACAAACAACTGTTGCTTTTGAGATGCTTTAGGGATATTACAAAAGAGTTCCTGCTGTTATATACTGCTTCCTTTGTCTGAGTGGATTAAAGGAAAATGTCTGTTGCAGTCTGCATTAATGATTTCAGTAAAATTTTGCATTGCAGCTATGAACTATTTTGTTAGAAAGCTCCAGCTTTGCCTGTAGCTCTCAGCGTGAACTCAAATTAATAAAAATTAATGTACAGTCATCACTACTGAAAAAAACTTTCTCTTAAAATACTGCTTAATTAGAAGAACTTAAATAGAAGAACTTAAATGTTCTAAAATGTGTGGCTGACTTATGCGTTATATGTTGCTGGATTGAAAGATCTGGCACTGATGCATGTTGATGATGAAGATGATTTGTGCAGGGTTGAGAATGAATTTGTCTAGCTGAACGGTAACACATGGGCTTTCCTGGGTCTTTGAGAGACTATTAGAAATGTCATTCTTTGGCTCAACAGACCTTTCAGCGAATGGTGTGTTTGTGGAGCTGTATTTCCGCTGCTTATTCCCCAGTCTCATATTGTCCTGTCACAGTTTCAGCATTCGGGCTTGTGAGAATAAATTAATGTTTACAGGTTGCTGGAAATAGCTGGGAGTATGGCTTGGTTTTGTGCTATTGAATGTGCCTTCAATATGTCAAAATGCTTAAGAAGGTATTACTTACTTATGCCTATTGAGGCAGCAAAGCATCATTACATTGAAAATCTACTTCCCTGCTTCTGCTGTTTTTCACTCTTCCAATTCTGGTGTGAATTTAAGCAAAACTTATCCCTCCTCACACTATCATGTATAAAATATTTGAATATTACTAAGGAGTTCCATATGTATCTGAAATAGTTCTGAACTCTATGGTGCTACGTAGGGGCCACTGAAAAATAAAGCCACTGTAAAAGCAGTATTCTTTTTCTGAGCATTGTATTTGTAAAAGGCTTTAAAAGGGAAATGAAGATGAACCGCGCTATTTATACTTCTCTGTTAGAAGTTACAATGTTTTCATGCCTTACTGTGCATAAAACAAGCTGGAAATCAAACTTTGTGTTCCACCTGTTAGAAAAGGGGATGGTGTCCAGGAAAAGGAAGTAAGTTCTGATATTACAATCCAGTTTCTGTATTGGTAAACTGATAGGAATTCTCCTACTGGATTTTAATTGCTTAAGATATCCTAAGAAAGTTAGTTAAATTTCTTTAAAGAGAAGACAGGTGCCTTGCATTTTCTAAATAATGGTTCTGCATTTCAGAATTGCAATCTGAGATAGGCCAGAGCTGCTGAAGTTCAGACCTTGGTGTGGTCTGGAGTAGCTATGTCTCCAGTTAACAATTCTAAGAAGCACTCTAAGAAGCGATTCTCAGTATTTCATAGAAGAACCGGTCACTTTTTTGTGGAGAGGGGTAATAAGTGGATTGTCTTTTACAGTTTTGTAACAGTTGTCTTCGTTTACAGCAACAACAAAGTAAAGTTAAACACTGAGAATTCAATAGCTGTCACTTCTCTCCTTTTCATGTTCACTTACATGCATGGGAAAGTGAGATGTGTATTCTTATAGTTTTTTGCAGAGGTTTTGCAGACTAGTTCCTGAGGTTTTGTGAATTATGGATTGAGAATTATTGCTTTCCAGAATCAAGAAGTCTTCAGTCCCACGCAGGGATAATATTTAAGCAGGTGTTAAGATCTTTGAAGACTGTAGCACCAAATATCTTATTTAGCAACTTTTTGGAAAGAATGAAGTTGTTAACAACTAGAAGAAAAAAATACCAGTCTCTGATTTTTTTTTTTATACAACAGTCAGCTGCGAAGAATTTGAAATGATAGTAGTTCTGATCTCATGATTAGAGAGAATTTTTTATCAAAGAACAAGAACTTTCTGAAAATAAAAATGGAAATGAAATTTAATGAAAATGAATGTTTTCACTTTTATAATAGGATTTCTTATGTCCTGTGACTGACATTTATATTGATAATGGAGCAAAATACATGGGAAGGGGTTTGTTAAAATAAGTAAATATTTGCTCTGAGGAGCTATACCTGATTCTAAAGATGCCCTTTATTTGTAAAAGGGAGGCTGTAAACTTTTGCAAAGTATTCAGATTAAAGATGGTGACTTCAGTATAATGAGTTTGTGTTTGAATATGCATAGGATTATGATCATTCAAAATTTTTTGCAATGTTTGTGAAAACAAGCTTCTCTACATTTAGTATAAATTATGGAAATTTGAATCTTAGGCATGTTCTTCCTTGAAATGTTTTTACAAAGCTGTCACTGCATTGAGTTAGTCCATCTTTAGTATTTCTGTGAGAAGCCTCTGGAACCTGGGCTTTCTGAAAAAATGGAGAGTTTGCTTTGACTTTATATATGAGATACTTTTTTGAGCTACTAACAGGTAGATTGCATTTTAATCACTTGTAGGAAATAGCTTTGGCCAACCTGTTTTCTGGCAAGCGCAGAAGATGCCTGGGCTGGTGCTGCTCAGCCTGCTGGAACACTGGTTTGGTGCTCAAAATTTTGCACTGCTTTGAAATGTTAGTGTTTATATTATCCTACAATGTATGGCAGCATGGGCAAGAGGTAGAGCATGGGGTATTGAATAAAATGTCAAGAAAGACAGAGGGTAGAAGGAAAGCAGGAATAACACTGGGCTAGTGGGAATGATGGACCTCATTCTCACTCTTTCTTCTTTTTTTTTTTTTTTTTGTGGTGATGAGCTGTTAATTATAACTGTCCCATAGTGTGACATGACAGCCTCATTTGGTTCCTTCGTTGCAACTTCTGTACATTTTTAATTATTTACACCTTTACTTTAAACTCCAATGTAGATGTTCGACTGTTACTGAGACCCTACTGGAGCCCTTGACAACTGATATTCTTCCAGTTACTTGTAAATGGTAGAGGGGAAAAAAGTCACATAAATGGCAGTGGTGTTTTCCTTTTCTTTAAGCATGGATATCTTAGGTTGGATAAGAAGAGGTTGTCAGGTCACTGGTGGCAAAGGCTGAGGTTGTGCTCAAGAATAGAGACTGATGAAAATTATTTGGGATTTTATTCTTGTTACTTCTCAGTTTGAAAAACTCAATGATCTCAACTTCTGAGAGGATGTATTCAACATCTCTGACAATAACTTGCTTCAGCTTTTGATTTTTGGCCACAGTTTGGGTCAGGAGTGGAACTATTTTCTTTATTCCTTTTGGTTAAAGCATTCTGTGTAGTGTAATGAGCGTTGGGCTCTTAATCAGAATACAAAGCCACAACTTTTTTTTTTTGGCAAAAGAAAGTATTTTAATGAAGTGCTGTTTTGTTTGCAAATAGTACAAAAATAATACATGCTAGTGTGCTTCGTAGTATCTGGGAGTAGCTCTCTTAATTAGTTCATTTCCATCATTTATTTTCTAATGCAGTCATTTATTTTCTAATGCAGTCATTTATTTTCTAATGCAATACCAACAGCTTTAAACTAAACAGTTTTAAAGCTGTTGAAATTGCATTAGAAAATAAATTATTTAAGATTCGTGCTCTTCAGACACTTTTAAATTTTTTAGATGTATCTCCTTCTGTTCTTTTTGTTATCTTTTTAAAAATTAAAACAGATGCAATTTTGAAGATGATTTCTATCTAAGAAAATCATTTATACACCTTTAATGGATAGCTTTCATGTTTCCTCAGGAAATAAGTTGTAGTTGAACCATGGTGTCAAAGATGATGTTTACAATATAGCCTCCTTTCCAGTAAATAGAAAGACACTGAAGAAATTTAACTTTTGAGCTTTACCTTTGGTGGTAGTTAGAACTTTTGGGGGCAAAAAGAAATTATTATGTATGCACACACACTCATTCACCGTACGATACACTCTTTGGTCGAAGTCCCTTCCTTGTGTTTTCCTGAGAGTGGTTAGTCTTGACTTGGGAGTGGTTAGGCTTGGCCTGGGAGCAGCATTTGTTACATGATGCTTTTACAGTAACAACTTTTGGGAAATAATAATTTGATAAAATATTATTATAGGTATTTACTAGCTCATTTAAAATGTAGTTTTCTTAGAGCAGTGTAATCTCGTTGATAGCCAGTTGTGGGGTATTTCTCTTGATGTTACCTGTTCCCTGGGAAAATGGCAATTTGAATAGCATTTGCTTCATGTTAGTTAAAATCCTGCTGTCTTGCAAAAAGGATCTAGTTGTTCAGTTTAGAGTGTTGGACTTAAAGGAATATTTGCTAAACTTTCTATTCAGTAATTCTGCAGTTCTCTTGTTCAGTAAAGCTTATTTTTATCCTTATTTGACACTTTAATTTCTGGACCTCATTCTGTAATCTTATCTGTCTTGACTTTTTGTGTAATGCTTCATTTGCTGTCAAATGCCCACCAAATTTTGGAGAACTGCTTAAGGGAGAAGAGACAGGAAGACTGGTTAATGTATGCCTACTGTTTGACAGAAATACTCTTGCGTCAAAACTAAGCTTACTTTTTTTTTTTTTTTTAAAAACCACGACACATGGATCTATGACTCACTCCTTTTTCACCTGGACATATAAGTTAATGTTATTTTAGTGGTATGTGGTTTGTCAGCCTTTGAATATATTTAGATGTGAGAGCTTTCTGCTTTTGATGTTTCCTTGTCCTGAAAGGAGTGCTACATTTGCCTTTCTTGACAC